TCTGGGACTGCATTGGACAGGCTACAGTAAGCAAGTTACCCTGGTTAACTAGGAAGACATTGTCTAATATAGCCTGGTTAATGGGGACGGCACAGACTACCTGAAGCATTTTATCCAGGAGAACTATGAACAGGTTACTCCAGTTATTTAGGAGGACATTATTTTTCTTCTCTTTATTCATGGGATGTGGGCATCGCTGGCGAGGCCAGTGTTTATTGCTCACCTCATGGCCCCTCAGAAGATGTGGTGCACTGCCTTTTGAAGCTGTTCATTCCATGATTTGCAGGTACACCCACAATTTTGTTAGGGAGGGGTCTGATGATTTTGACTTAGCAATGTTGAAGAAACGGCGATATATTTCCACGACAGGATGGTCTGTGGATTGCAGGGGAATGTACAGGGAGTAGTGTTCCCATGGATTTGTTGCCCTTATCTTTCAAGAGGGTAGAGGTTGTGGGTTTGGAAGGGTCTGTCTAAGGAGCCTGGGTAAGTTACTGCAGGTGAGCTTGTAGATGGTACATACTACTGCTACTACAAATCGGTGACGATGTGGTGCCAATCAAGTGGGCTGCTTTGTCCTGGATGGTGTGAAGCTTCTCGAGTGTTGTTGGATCTACTTTTATCCATGCAAGTGGGAGGAGTATTCCATCACACTCCTGGCTTATGCCTTGTAGATGGTGGATAGGCTTTCAGCAGTCAGGAGTGAGTTACTCAGTGCAGGATTCTTAGTCTCTAACCTGTGCTTATAGCCGCTGTATTTATATTGCTGATCCAATTCAGTTTCTGGTCAGTGGTAAGATTCAGTGGTTGTAATGTTGCTGAATATCAAGAGGAGATTCTCTCTAGTTGGAGATGGTCATTGCCTGGCAGTTGTGTGCCACAGTGTTACTTGCCACTTGTCAGCCCAAGCCGCTCCAGATCTTGTTGCATTTGGATACGGATTGCTTCAGTATCTGAGGGGTCACCATTGGTGCTGAACGTTGTGCAATCGTTGGTGAAATCCCCATTTCTGACCTTATGATAGTGGGAAGGTCATTGATGAAGCAGCTGAAGATGGTTGGGCCTCGGACATTATCCTGAGCAACTCCTGCAGAGATGCCGTGGAGCTGAGGTGACTGACCTCCCACGACCATCTTCCATGTGCGTGGTATGGCTTCAACCAACAGAGTTTGCCCCCGATTCCCATTGATACCAGATTTGCTCTGGCTCCTTGATGCCACACTTTGTCAAATGTTGACTTGCTATCAAAGGTAGCCACTTCTGTTTCACCTCTGGGATTCAGCCTTTCTGCCCGTGTTTGGTGGTTGAGTGGCTGGCAGAACCCAAACTGGCGTCGCTGAGCAGGTGCTGCTTGATAGCGCTGTTACTGATACCTTCCATCACTTTACTGATGATTGAGTGTATTGGTGGGCAGTAATTGGCTGGGTTGACTTGCGAACAGAGCAGAATTTTCTATGTTGTTGGCTAGATGCCAGTGTGATACTGTATTGGAGCAGCTTGGCTGAAGGCTTCACAAGTTGTATTGCAGGAATATTGTTTGGGCTTATATCCTTTGCAGTATCCAGTCCCTCCAGCTGTTTCTTGATATTACATTGGGTGAATCAAATTGGCTGAACACTAGCATCTCTGGTGTTGGAGACCTCCTGGAGGAGGCTGAGATTAATCCAGTCCTATTTGCCAGTGTTTGGCCCATATCCCTCTAAATTCTTCTTATTCATTTACCTATCCAGATCCCTCTTAAATGTTGTAATTGTACCAGTCTTCACCACTTCCTCTGGCAGCTCGTTCCATACACACACCACCCTCTGTGTGAAAAAGTTGCCCCTTAGGTCATCAGTCAGGGCATTGAGTATAAACTGTATAAGACTTTAGTTAGGCCACTTTTGCAGTACTGTCCTAGATCTTGTCGCCATACTGTAGGAAGGATGTGGAGGTTTTGGTGAGGGTGCAGAAGAGGTTTACTGGGATGTTGCCTGGATTGGAGTGAATTAGCTACAAGGTGAGGTTGGAAAAACTTGGCTTGTTTTTGCTCGAGTGTCAAAGGCTGAGGCTGTGCCTGATAAAAGTATATAAAATTATGAGAGGCAAGGATAAGCTGGATAGCTTGGAGTCTTTTACCCTGGATTGAAATGTCAAATACTACGGGGCATAGCTTTAAGATGAGGTGGGGGGGAAGATTTAAAGGAGCTGGGTGAGGAAAGCATTTTTTATACAGAGGATGGTACGTGCTTGGAATATGCTGCCCAGGGAGGTGGTAGGAGCAGATTTGATAGCAATGTTTAAGAGGCATTTAGACAGATACACAAAAAGGCAGGGAATACAGGGATAGGGAGCGTGTGCAGGCAGAGGGGATTAGTTTAGAATAGCATCATGGTCAGCACAGATGTGGTGAACTAAAGGGCCTGTTCCTGTGCTGAACTGTTCTGTGATAACAATGACATAGGAATGAAGCCTGAAACCAGATTTCAGTGAGTTGGAAAGGAAATTCGATAGCAGAACCTCAAGGAGTAATCTCCGGAATACTACGTGCTAGTGAGCATAAGAACAGGATGGGGATTGATCGATTGAATGTGATTGAAGAGCTGGTGTAGGAGGGAGAGAATGGCTTTGGTTTTCTGAGGCAGTGGGACCTGTTTCTGGGGCAGGTATGGGGAGAAAATTCAGAAGTCTGAAGTGCAAAGAAACTTCGGAGTTCTAGTCCAGGATTCTCTCAAGGTAAACTTGCAGGTTGTCAGTAGTTAGAAAGGCAAATGCAACTTTGGCATTTATTTTGAGAGGACTTGAATATGAAAGCAGGGATGTACTTCTGAGGCTCTACAAGGCTCTGGTCAGGCCACATTTGGAGTATTGTGTGCAGTTTTGGGCCCCATATCTCAGGAAGGATGTACTGGCCCTGGAGCGGGTTCAGAGGGGGTTCATGAGAATGGTCCCAGGAACTAAAAGCTTAACATATGAGGAAAATTTGAGGACTCTGGGTCTATACTTGATGGAGTTTAGAAGGATGAGGGGGATCTAATTGAAACTTACAGAATACTGAATGGCCTGGAGTGGATGTTGGCAAGATCTTTTCATTGGTAGGAGAGACTAGGACCTGAGGGCACAGCCTTAGAGTAAAGGGAAGACCTTTTAGACCGGAGATAAGGAGAAACTTCTTTAGTCAGAGAGTGGTGAATCTGTGGAATTCACTGCCACAGAAGGCTGTGGAGGTCAGGTCATTGAGTACATTTAAGACGGTGATAGGTTCTTGATTGTCAAGGGGATCAAGGGTTATGGGGAGAAAGGGGGAGAATGGGGTGAGTAATTTATCAGCCATGATTGAATGGTGGAGCAGACTTGATGGGCTGAATGGCCTAATTTCTGCTCCTACGTCTTATGGTTTTAAGGTGGGCTGGGTTACAACTTAACAGGACTACGAGTGATATCCTCACAGGGTGATTTGCTCGTGTTGCTGGGATGGGTTTAAACTAGCTTGTCAGGGGGCCGGGAACCTGAGGGAGTAACGCAAACTGAGTGAAAGTGAGCATCAGGAAATAAAAAAGCTGCTATGGAGATTAGAAGACAGGGGAAATAAAGCTGAGCATGGAGTATGCGTTGACTGTGGCATGACGTCAAAAAGACAGAGTTAGGGCACTCTACCTAAAAGCATACAGCATTTGCAACAAGGATGACAATCTAAAGGCATAAATACGTGGGTATGATTTAATGACCCTTACAGAAACATGGTGGCCCTGTGGCCAAGACTGGGAATGGAATATTGAAGGGCACTTGACATTTAGGAAGACAGGCAAGGTGGAGAAGGAAGTTGGGCTGATGATAAGGGGTGGGATAAGTGCATTAGTAAGGGAGGATCTCAGATCAGAGAAACAATGTGTGAAATTTGGTACTAAGAAACAGCAAAAAACAGCAGATATTGGTTAGAGGTATTTATAGGCCACCAAATAGAAGCGGGAGCATGGGGCATGGTATTAATCAGGAGATGAGAGAAGCATGTAGCAGGGACAGAAGAGTTACTGTGGGGGACTTTGATCTGTGTATAGATTGGGTACATCTGCTGAGAACTGAGGCTGTGAAGGATGAGTTCCTGGGGTGTGTTACAGATGGTCTTCCAGAGCGGTATGTTGAAGAGTCGACTAGAGACCATGATCTAGTAGTGAGAAAGGGCTAATTAATAATCTTGTTGGAGGAGATCCTTTCTGGATGAGTCGCAGCAATATGTTAGAATTTTACATGATGATTGAAAGTGAACTTATCTAATCTGAAGCATCTGAAAATTTAATGAAGGGAGATTACGAAACCAGGAAACTGAGGGGGACTGGAAAAATACATTAAAAGGCATGATTGTACATTGGCATTGGATAGCCTTTAAAGAACTATTACATAGCTTAGAGATGCAAAACCTCAAAAATGGTAAGTTAACCATAGCTGACAAAGCAAGTAAAGGGTTGTACAAAATTACATGTAATAGCTTATAAAGTTGCCAGAAGTAGTAGTTATTCTGAGAATTAGGAATTTTTAGAATACCACAGAGGACCAAGAGTGGACTATGAACACAACATGTTTAAAACATCATAATGGACTGTAAAAGCTTCTGTAGGTGCACAAAGGAAAACAATTGGCTAAGGTGGACGTGTGGAGATGAAGTGGAAGGAAGTGCTCATATATTTTGTGCCTGTGTGCTTCACTCCACTTCATCTGATCAAGGAGCAGCACTCCAAAAGCTTCTGATTTTAAATGAACCTGTTGGACTATATCCTTGTGTCGTGAGACTTCTAACAAAGTTGATAAAGGGAAGTCGATGGATATAGGATTGTGGATGGGTTACCCTGGTTATCTGGGAGGGTGGAGGGCGGTTACCCTGGTTAT